CTAATATTTATGAAATGATATATCTCAACCCTTTATTCCCCCGGTGTTCTAAAACACATTGATTTTGGCTCTCAGCGAGGATAACAACAAAGCGCAATCAACAGACCCTTCGGGCCATCTTGGATAACGTCTTCCTGTCATACAATACAGTCCTCCAAGTTACGGGTCCCTCGCAGCCAACCATTAGGCCATTACGTCTTCCTTTATAGAACTAAGTTACGTTTGATACGTTTTCATACCATCTAGCACTTATAGCAGATACGTTTTGCTGTGAATTCTGTTGCTGAACTTTGCTGATCAAGACTGGAGTACTTCCTCAAGCGGGCGTAAGTTTCCGACGCCCTCAAAAGCCTGTTACACGAGTTCCGCATATCGTCTCGATACAGACTTTTCTTCTCTCAAACCTTAATGAACAACCAAATGATGACCTAGGTCTCCATAGATCAATTGATCATGCCGAATTTAGTAAATAGGTGAAAGCTTGCCCCCTGGCATACTTTTCTTTGTAAAGACCCTTGGCAAGTTTGGGGTCCCATGTTTTCATGAGCAACCAGGGGCTTTCTCCTAAACGACAAGAGAATGAAATTGGAGTTTGCAAAATTGGTATCAAATCGACTGGCGAGACGTATCATTTCTTTGAATAAAAAATTGGAAAAGCGTGACATCGTCAAAAAGGCCCATTATTTGCGATGTTGCAATCTGCCGATATATAAAGAGTAGAATTTCGAAAGCGAAAAGCGGAAGTGGGAATACCGTCAGAATTTACGTTATAGATGTAGAAGAATGAAAAAAAACAACTCTTTAGAATTTAAACTGAGAAGGACTTAGAGTGCACAAAGAAAAATTGAAAGGCAGAACTCCTAAAGGACAACCGTAATAAGGACAAAAAACAAATATCATAATACTTCGACACAATGGGATGCTTTAGATACTTTACATGACAGAAAGTTGGCATGAAACTTCCGTTTTTGGACAGCTGACCACCATTCTACAAGTCGTGGGCTCACTAAGTTTTCGTTTTCGAAAATTTGATGGAAATGGCGATGCATCATATTCAGGCTTCTTGTCTGGGAAGTCCTGATTGAAATTAAGCTAAGAGTTTCATTTCTCACTATAATTTCCCACACAGCCCAGCTTTTAGCCAATTTCTTTATCTGCAAGCGCCTTTTACAGGAAGCCGTACGTTCATGTCCCCCGCTTCGGGGATAAAGTTTAAACTTCTCACAGCTCGCAAATACAGGAATCGTGATCTTTTTCATTTGAAGTTCAAGAAGAGCACTTGTATATTCTGAGGAACAAGACATGTCTTCGCCTGTAGTCTACACGCTTCTCTTTAGATGGATTCTTCCTCTCGTCTTGTCAGGAGCTCGAGGTGCGTGTTTTTGTCCGTTTATTTCATACATGTTTATTTCGTAACAGCTGAATCGTAGTGCGGGCATTCATGGGGGTGTATTTCTCGTGTATATTT